GCTCAGACTCTCCTGACAACACTCAAATCTGGGCATTTACCTGGAAAGATTCAGCTGCAGTAATGGAAGAAGAGGACAATTCTGCCAGCTTTGGAGAAGTTCTGCTGCAGTTTGGATCTGTTTCTACCTACATTAAAACTTCTGTCTAATATCTGATAAGCAGACATAGGTCAAGCACAGTAAAACAATGGAGAGCCTTGCACAAACAAGGCACATTTTGCTTGAGAGAGGTAGTGTCATCTCTCTTCCTCCAGCACTGGTCATTTCCCTTCTACGCCTGCATACAGCATCTATTTTGGTCCACCATGCCCTTTTCTTGGATGGAAGCTGTGCATCTTCTGCACTTCCTCTCACAGGCATCTTTCAGTTCAGCAGTTCTTTAAAATACTTTCCAAGCTTTTTGTTAGAACAACAGCAGCACTTTGAGCTGGGAGCTGCTGGGAGGGAGGGAGTTTTTATGGGCATTTACTAACTGCTCACATCAGCAAGACAGCAGCAAGCAGCAAAGATGTACTTGTCCCAGGAAAGAGCTATGGTCCAAAGCACAGACCTTCCCCTCCCATCATTAACACTGGAGCTCTCCCTTCATGCTGGCCCACCATGGAAAAGTTTTCTGCTAGAAGTGACACATCTGTGGCTCATAACCACCATGCACAAGGGTGAAGCACTTCACAACCCCAAAGGGCTTTTGTAAGTGTTAGAAACTTGGATGTGCTGACAACCGAGTAGGCCTGAACCTTGGCTGCTGTCCAGCATTGCTTCACCCCCAAGAGCTGCCACAGTGCCAAAATGCCACAAGTGTCTCTTATCTGTGCATTTTGGGAATCCAGAATCCACTGGTCTAAGCTGCCTGCCTGGCTCACATGTCCAAAAAGGCTGCTCTGTTAAAGCAATAATTTGTCAGCCCTTGGAATTGCTGGGTAGCTCCTCATTCAAGGTGAACAGATGCACTGTTGATTACTGAAGGGATATGCCACTTTGCTGAAGATTTATTTCAGTGGGTTTCTTCACTCCAGGAACCACAACAAGTTCAGTTCTGGGATTTCATGACAGTGTCTGTTGTCAGGTAGGGAGATATATTGTCACGGAATATTTCTTGTTTCCATGATACACAAAAGCTTCAGAACAATGAACATTCTTCACCTTTTGTAGTAAGCACAAGCCACCAGCATGTACTATAATTTAATCTATGGAACCAAAATAATTTGGGGATAATTTAAAATGCTGTGAAGGAACTGCAGGTTTTGAGTGGGCTGCTCTGGTCTATGAATACTGCCTGTTAATACCCAGATGTCAAATGCCAACTTCCCATTCACTGTTGTAAACAAACTAGACTGTCATGTGGTAAAAAATAACCATGGGAGGCATGCAACACATTCCAGGATTTGTTTCACCAGGTTTGTGATTTGGAGAACAAGTTTAAAGGAAGGGAAAAAATTTTCTTTAATCTTTCACTCATTTTCTATCATTTACCCCACATCTAAGATAGGTGCAGAAAACAGATCACTTTTGCACTCTGTAATACTGTGAAAGAAACTCTGAAATGTCTACTTCCCTCTAAGACTGACCCCAGATCTTTAAAAACCATAAAAATCCAAAATAGCTTTAAAGTTTCTCTGTTCTTTCTGAGAATAGTTTGTGTTGGGAGATATCCAAAATCCATGTCTCACTTCACTCTGCCATTGATACAATGCTGCCACCAATCTTCCAGCCAGGTTTCAAACATTTAATGTCATCCCACTACTGCCAGACGTTCAACCCACTTAAGACTAAATAAACATTGAATAAGGAGTTCAGTCTTCTTGTTAAGTCCACTGGACCAACCACTTTTTAAAAGAAATGCAAGAGGTAAAGGATTTTTACATTGGGCATCTTGTCTTATTCTGAGGATTGAAGACAGGCAAGCAGGGGTGCTGGAAACCCAGGACCAAACTTAATTCAGCTCTTCTAATTCTTCTATTTTCACACTGCTTTCTCGGAAACAAAGGCTATTTCTAGTGTTAATACATTTCAAAATCTCTAAACATGTTAAAATAATGCCAACTGTAAAATCATCATTCTGTAATCCACTGTCACACCATTCATATGCCTACATCTTGTCCTCATCTTGCCCTCCCTGGTTTTTTAACTTGTAGGTGCATCATGTACTTCTACCTTTTCTTGATGTTAACTGTCAGCATAATGATAGTATTAAATTATTTGTATTACTTTCTTTATTCTGCTTTATTCCTGTTTCTGTGATGCTGATATTTTTTCCCTTGCCTAGCCTGAAGTGCAGAGAAATGCTGAGTAATGTAAGCACTCTTCTTCAAAATGGTTTTGCAGACAAGAGAGCTCATTAAATCATTGCACTTACTCATGTCTAAGTTGAATCATCTCCACATGTCCTTGCAAGCTACAAGCTTAAGTATAAGAGTTCTTATATCATGATAACATGGAATTCTAATAAATAAGAATCAGTGTGTACACTCATGCATTATCACTGCCTCAGTCAAAATGAAACACTTCCCACACAAAGGAACACTGGTTACACTAGCTTAAGAATAAACACTACAAGCATGTTTACATCTTGCAAAACATATGATTTTAGTGGGAAAATCACTTAAAACTGAGTTAGAGAAAGCAATACTCTACCAAAGCATTTTTGTTATGTGAACATTTAAGACCACCTAAAACCCACTGCTAGCTCTTCTGTTTCTCCAAGGTAGAGATATTTGCCTTTTCTGGACAAAACAGACCAACACGAACCCACATCCTCATTTAGGAATGTTAGTCTGGTCTCAAATACCATCTCCTTCAGTTTTCTGTTCCAAGCATCACAGTTCATTCAGCTTGTCAGACCTATTGTTTACAGTTGGCCTGAAAATAAAGATAGCTATTTCTCTTGTACTGTAGCTGTTCATGTAGTAAAAGCAGAGATGGAACCTTTCTGAGTGCTTCAGTGGGTGTAGAAGAAATAGTGCTCTCTGTGCTGGTGATGGGATGCTCTGCTGCAAGAGGAAGGGGATGACTGCACGTTCTTCCTTGTTAAAGGGTCATGGGTACTGGCTGCCAGCAGGTGCTGGACATTGACTCTCATGAATAAGCTTCACCCTGCTCCTAGAGTAAACACAAAAGACTTCATGTATTTTCCAGTATGTGTGCCACAAAAACTCTCCACAGACATACTGATGCTGCAGCTGCTCTGTGCTGGGACATACGATGCAGTGCAACTCTAATGAATATGCAACATCCATGGCACAATGGTCACACAGTCCCCAACACTATGGTTGGTTGTTCTTGCAGTAATTTTCTACCCTCCTGGTGAACCATTTTAGTCTGTCCTCTGTCACCCTCATCGAGAGGGTTCCCTTGGATAGTGCACAGCGGACTTCCAAAGGGCCACCAAGCCCCTGCAAACATGAACAAATGAACTGTAATCCTCCCCTCTGTTTCTCTCCTGGGAATGCAGAGGGAAAAAGTAGTGCACAGGCAAAAAAACCCACAACCTTTCAGTATGAGTCCTTCTGCTTCACTCCTCCAGATAATGTTCTTGACATCTTCTCTCTTGCTCCCCTTTCCACAGCTCTTTACCTTCTCAGCCTATTTTGATGGGCTCTGGATGAGTCATGTTGTCACAGATGTAAATTGCAACCAGAATAATGACCTCTACCCCTACTGTCTCATCTCTAGAGTTCAGATGTAATACCTTCTCATTTTAATTACTTTTTTACTATCTTTGGAATTCCCTTAGAAAACAACAAGGAAGTTAAGCATGTTAGCAAGGCTGTCACACAAATGTCCCTTCAAATCAGGAGCAAGCAGCTGACTTGTCATTGACAGATAGGTCGTCACAGGAGAAGAGAGCTCAGTTACTTTCAAATATTCAAATATTTGATTTCCTGGTTGCATTTAAGGAAGAAAAAAAAGCAAACCATAGTGACAAGGTTTTACACAGTCATTCATCTTGCATTTTGAACTAATTAAGCAAAGCAGGTTTCATTGTGTTCAGTGGTGGTAGTCTTATAGCTGAAATTAGGCACTATCTCATGTGTTTTGCTGAATGCAGTCAGAACACTTTAGCACCTTGCAGCATTCCATACTAGATGAATTATGTACGTATTTCGGAAGTACAATCCATGTATTCTTTTTATCTATGACATTAATTTGTGAAGTAAAACATCACATAATGAAATCTAAAAAAATCTTTTTTGCCTTATGCTACCACAGATGTAGAAGAACAACACACATTCTCAGATCAATTTCAATAGCAATCACAGATCAGAGACCTGTAGAATCTGGTCCTATTTGCTTTTTCTCTGTCACTTATAGCCTCAGATAACAAATTTGTAAAGGCTGTGTTGTCAAGTTTTACCAACTTTTGCCAGCTGAAAAAACTCTAAATTGACATAGGCTAAATGGTAGAAGTACCTCTGGAATTTCTCCCAGAAGGAAAAAAGGCATTTTCCTTCTGAGTTTAGAGCCTATTGTTTGTGGCAAAACAAGGGAAAACACAACAAAAGAATAAAAAAAACATCAACTCAGACTGTGATGGTAAACTGATAAAAGGGAATAATTCTAACATCCAAACCTTGCTTCTGAAAGCAGTAGGTATTTGATCTGCTGGTGGCATCTGCTGTTGCATTTCGAAAAGTCATTTGCACCAATGAAAAGTGAGTGCAAAAGAATGCTGCTTTGAACTCCTTTTGGCTGTAGGAGGTGTAAAGCAATGGAGAATCTCTCGAGTGTTGATAAGTCATACATGTGTATTTGAAGGAGCAACTCAACCTGCTTTTTAACTTCCTCATGAAAGTAATCCATAAAAGTCAATTAAACACAAAGATAACAGAGTGGCTCTATATTACAAATCATGGACATCTAGGAGACAAATTCTGAGCATGTTTGGCTGTACATGTGACCACTTCCTATACTCTTCCTTGGGCAGAGTAGGGAAGAAGATGGCAGCTGCTGCCTTAAGAAAGTGACTGCTCTTAGGTAAAGCTAAAGGCAACTGTCTCTACCTGTGAATGTTTTCTTCCAGCTTTTTCACCTTCTGCTCATCCTCTTCTGACTGCCTCCTTCTGGCTTCTTCTTCTTCTGCAGAGCCAGCAGGAATTCCCTGTAGCAGCCATTTTTCTCGAAGAGCTTTTGACTGTAAGATAAAAATCCCATATCTTAGGATCAGACTGAACAAAAACCATCTGGAGATTGAGAAGGAGCTGTCTTTTCTTCTGAATATTAGACTGCCCCACTGAATTTCTGGTTACTGCTTTAGATAGTCAATAGAAGCCAGTCTATTAACTGTTTATCTAGATGTCAGGTCTTCCAGATTTAGGACTGTCAGTTTTACAGTATACATTTTATTTACCACTAATGCCTTAATATAAAGTTATTTTTAATCTCTGTTAAAAACAAGTGTTTTAACCACACAAATTAGTGAGTCCTGCAAGAAACAAAATCTTTGAACAGAAATGTGAATCTCTCATGAATGATAAGGCATGTGCTGGAAGGACTAAAGTCATAAACTTCTTTAAGCTTCAAAAACAAAAGAGCAGAGTGCTCTAAGTGTACTGTGCTTCATGGAGGATAAAATAATTATAATATTAAATCAATCTAAGACGTTATTTTTTATTCATACAACAGATGTATGAAAATATTTACAGGCAGACACACATATACATACACATATACATGCACATAAGCACACACATCATCTCTTAGGTAGACACAAATTGAAAAAAAAAGGAACAAAAACCTTCCAGAAACCATGAGTATCCCAGGACACAGCAACACTGCTGCAGAAAGCAGCAACAGCCTTCACCTAAGAGAATTATTCCTGGGAGTTTAGCTGTGCTTTCCACACCAAAAACCTGGCTACAATCTCACCCTGCTTGTTTAACTTAGCTGCAGCTGGTCCAGGGGAGTTCACCACTGGAGGTGCACGAGTTGGAAGCCATCCTTTACATAGCACATCTGTCTGTGTTTCCTTTTTGGCCCAAATCCTGCCAGAGGAATGCGGCAGATCAGTCGGCAGACAGGACAAGCACCTGTTGTATGGAAGATCAGGAGCCCAAAGCTAAGCAGGACTTTGCCCCTTGGCAAAAAGAAAACTGAGCTGGTGGAAAAAATGGTCAGCCAAGGGACTAACCAAACTTGTCCCTTGCACTGATCAGTAAAGGGGAGACTTAGTTTTGAATCTGTGAAGTGATTGCCAATGCCAGTTCAAGGAACCAGCTCCTCTCTTGAGAAGAGAAGTTAATAGGGAAGTCATCAGTTCAAGGAAATTGCATTTCAGATGTAACCCCAACATGCAAGCGTGTCTTTTCAATGCCATGTTGTTGTTGGAATAGAACTTGACTTGAGCAAACGATGGGTAAAGGAAAAACATCTACCAACAAAAACAGGCTTCAAAACTTGCCCAAAATAGAAAGATTTTTGACACAACTGACAAGGCTTTCTGGCTAGTTTTTAAGGGTATTTATAGACATAGTATCTATGCACAACCTATTCTTGTCACTCCATAACCTATTTAACATCAGGTAATTAGATTTAGTAAGGCAGTAGACAGAAAGCCACACAAAAAACACAAGCAAATGATAAATTACTCCACCTTTCACTGGCTTTAACTGTGCTCTGCATGAGAGGATTTTTTGGTGGATTAAAGTGATATCTATATCAATTAGGACATCTGCATGACAGAAAAGGTGTCATGCTCTTGTCCCATGAAATCATGTTCAATAGTTGGACCTGCTGGTGCTAGTGCTGTTCTTTACCTGCCTGAACTCAGTTTTGCTCATGGTCTCCAAGGTGTTAGTTCCCAAAACATTAGGAATGGCTATCTCCAGCCACAGTTTCTGCAGTTTTCTAATCCTTTTGTTGGCACTACCATCTGCCATTGTTTCCTGTCACATTTCACAGGGCTCTGCAGAGGGATCTGGATAGACTGGAGAGATGGGCTGACTCCAATGGGATGAAGTTCAACAAGGCCAAGTGCCGGGTCCTGCACTTTGGCCACAACAACCCCCTGCAGCGCTACAGGCTGGGCACAGAGTGGCTGGAGAGCAGCCAGGCAGAAAGGGACCTGGGGGTGCTGATCGACAGGAGG